TCAGCAAAGTATACCGGTCCAGCATAATATGCTAGAGTTCATACACAGGTGCACCGAACTCCAGTATATTATGCTGGACCGGTCTCTGTTGCAGCAAAATAGTGGATATTTTTCATTGACTTCGTAAACGCTGGCTATTTTTGAATGACCAGTCCGAAAACTGGCTATACCGTACTATTTTGTCTTCATTTGTGGTGGTCTGATTGTAAGATCAAACCAAGGGGGAAGTGCACGGTTAGCCATTAATAACACATATATTTACTTTTAAACCACTGTTTAAAATGTCCATAGTCTTTAGCCACTGCTTTAATAAACTTTAACTATCCGGACGAAAATACCCTTATGCTCATGTCCTTAATTTTGAACTTAACTTCAGGACTTCAAGACTACATGTTCCTAACTTTTGAACTTGGAACTCTAAGTTCAGGACTACATGTCCTTAACTTTTGAACTCAACTTCACGACTACATGTCCTTAACTTTTGAACTTGTAACTGTAAGTTCGGGACCAAGTGTCCTTAACTTTTGAGCTTGTTAGTCTAAGTTCAAGACCTATTGTCCTTAACTTTTGAGCTTGTTAGTCTAAGTTCAAGACCTATTGTCCTTAACTTTTGGGCTTATTAACCTAAGTTCAAGACCTATTGTCCTTAACTTTTGAACTTGTAACTGTAAGTTCAGGACCTATTGTCCTTAACTTTTGAGCTTGTTAGTCTAAGTTCAGGACCAAGTGTCCTTAACTTTTGAACTTGGAACTCGAAGTTCAGGACCAAGTGTCCTTAACTTTTGAGTGTTTGGACATTACCAAGAGTGTAATTCGTATTTATTGGATTGAAGAGACACAATGTCGAGCAACTTTGGAGATGGATATGCGACGAGATCGGATGAAGAAGGTTTTGGAGGCATCTATGGAGGAAACAAAGAGGATGAAGAAAAGATAATCCATGGAAAAGCCCCTGGTAATGGTTTATGTTCTATATTTATCTTCTTGCTCTTAATATGTCTTCTAATGTCAATTCATCTATTTTTTTATTAATAAAATAGAGTATGATACTAATCAAGGAAGTGAAGTCATAGAGAAGGAGAAGGCACATAATAAACTGTCATTCCTGTTTAGAAGAAAGGGTAACACAGTCATTTCATATTAATTTTAATAAACTAGTGGCTAATATTGCTAAGCATTGAAAATGCTGGATAAAAAGTAAATACCACTTTAAAAAGTGGCTACGCCACACAATTTTTACTCAAACCGAGTCTTTAACTCTGAGAACACAAGCCCAAGCGGGCCTGAGTCTGATCAAATGTGTGAGCCCAATAACCATGGGCTGCATACACAAATATTACTAGTTCATATTCATGTTTCAGCAGCTATCTAATGACCTCGAACATGTATTTTGATCGACCTACACTTTTTAAGTCTATAATAATTTGTGTAAATACTAGTTTTTTTAGTCTCAATCAAATCCAAATAAGCAAACATTTAGCCCCAACAAGCAAGCTCTGATATACCACATCAACTCAGAAATTTAAATCAATTCATTAGTATGTAAAATTATTGTTAATATGTAACCTTCCATGAACGGCACTGTCGCGAACGTTATTAGGCCTTCTAAAATGAACTATTCGGTCAACTGGGATTAGACTAGAGTAGATTCTTTCAATAAACTTTGGGCCAAAAAGAATTCGGCTGGCCCAGGCATAATATAACTGAAACTCGGGTGAAATTCAATAATAGCCAGATTTATAACTGGTCGTTCAAAAATAGTCCAGTTTCAAAAGTAATTGAAATTTAGCCACTTTTCATATAAAGATAAATCTGAACGAAAACACTGTTCAAAATCCGGAAAATACGCTAGTATATTATGCTGGAGTTCCAGCATAAGTATACTTGAACTCCAGCATATTATACTGGAGTTCCAGGATAAGTATGCTGGAACTTCAGCATAATATGATGGAGTTCCAGCATAAATACACGAGAACTCCAGCATAATATACTGAAGTTCCAGTAAGTATACCGGTCCAGCATAATATACTAGAGTTTGGATCCGGTGCTCCAGTCTCCAGTATATTATACTGGAGCCAGGAAAGTATATCGGTCCAGCATAATATGCTGGAGTTCATACACAGGTGCACCAAACTTCAGTATATTATGCTGGATCGTTCTCTGTTGCAGCAAAATAGTGGCTATTTTTCATTAACTTGGTAAACGTTGACTATTTTTGAATGACCAGTCCAAAAAATGGCTATACCGTGCTATTTTTACCTGAAACTCGCATGACAGTTAATAAGATTACAAACCCGCTCACATTCCCATTTTATTTTATTTCTTCTATAATCAAAGGCCTCACAATAATCTCTAACTTAGGAGTTGAACAATCATAAATATCGTTAGTATGCTTTTAGGCATGTGAATTAATATAAATCATTCTAGTTATTGGTACGGATTCCGTGGCATAACTATGATATCTAACTCCAAACTCAAGTGCGCTTTTACACGACTTAATCCTTTAATTTCAATTAATAATAAATGTGTTGTTAAATAATGGGTATGTACACATGACATAATTTTTGATACGTACACAATAAATGCGGTTTAACGTGACTTGTTCAAGATAAATTTCATACCTCTTTAAAATATTTAATTAAAAGCATTATAAAAATGAAAATATGCAATAGATCCATCAAATATGGAATAATCCGAATTAATTAAGCCAAAAATAATTATCAAGAGATCATCCTAAAACTATACGGGAGTGCCTCACACCTTCTTCCGGGTAAACAGAATTTCTTACCGGACTTCTATGTTTTGCAGACAGAATTTCAGAGTCAAAACTTTCCTTGATTAGGGATTTAATATACTGTGACATGGAACATCGAAAATACTTCATTCTAAGTGGCGACTCCTTAAAAAAATAATAAAATCAATCCCTTTTCAAATCATGTCACTTTAATTGAAAAAAAATTCTTTTTCCATAATCCCTGAAAAAAGGAGGTGTGACAATACAATCTAAAGTAGGCATCATCAAATAAATAATAAAAATTGTGAAAATCAATACAACTATCCCAAGAACTAGTAATTCAAGCCATGAGTGACTAAGAATAAGAATACAACTCTGATAAGAAGAAAGTTGACATCATTTGTTCGAAATTTATATAAACGGAAGTATAAGTCCTAAACTACCATGAACGAGGTGGTAGCTTGTAGTTGGAATGCTGGAACATCCTCAATACTCTACCTCGAACTCCGTAGCCGCCAAGCTCCAATTATATGTATGCATGGTGCTGAAGTGTAGTATGAGTACAACCGACCTCATGTACTTACTAATTATCTTGACTAACATCGATGAAGTAGTGACATTTTTAAGTCAAAAGATACTTACTAATAAGACATGTGCAATTCGTAAGCAAGAGAAATAACAAGAGAAAAGACAAGTAACAATGAAAGATTCAAATAAACGAAATAATGAGCACAATCAAATATAACAACCAACCATTTCTCAATAAACGTGTACGAGATATCAAAGCCAAATGGCACAACAACACCTTTTATGCTTTTAGCTCATCCTTACCAAGCATATGTATATATGTCTAATCAAATGGCACGGCAACACCCTTCGTACATTTATCTTATCCTCACCAAGTATATTTATAACAACACCAAACAAGGTAGAAGGCGTATAGATGTAACTGCAGTAAACAAGGTAGAAGACATAGATGTAACAACACAAAAAAGTAGAAGGCGTGTTGATAATAGTAACAAACAAAGTAGACGACATGTAGATGACAGTTGTAAACAAGATAGGAGGCATACATGTAACAATATCAAACAAGATAGAAGGCATGTATTTAACAACCAAACAATAAAAGAAGGCATATATATGTAATAGTAACAAATAAGGAAAAGGCAAATGTGTAACAACAGTCAAGCATGGTAGGCATATATGTGTATGTGAGGAAATAATGAACACAATATACTGCATGTCTCTCGTCCTTAGTTCAAGTTAACTTTAACTTGAATGTAATAACTCAAATACCTAGTATAGTTGCTTCTAATGAAAGCTGAAATGTACAACTCAAAGCACCTATTGCACTTTGAACTAGAAATAAAAACGGACACGTAAAATTCTTTATGGAATTGGTTCTTCAATCTGGTTCATGTAGCAAGGATCGCACTCTCGCACGTCACACGAATTGCTCACTAAATGCCTTGCTAGTTGCTCTCAATTCATGCTTAACTTCAGTATGTGCTTAGTGAATAAAGAGTAACTATAAGTGTATTACTTTACTCTTCTTTGGTGGAAGAGTTCTCGTTAACTTCAACCTCTAACTCTTTCCTTATTTTGGATTGAGTTCTCTTCATGTAAGGAGTCCTGCTCCTTATCACATATGCAAAATTTTTGTCCAGGTTTATCAAAAATAAACTACCTACACTTATCTCTTTCACGTCATACCTTAATGCTTGATCTCAACTATGATCTGCTTACAGTATCTATGAACCTGTTTTATGCACGTGTTCCTTTATCAAATCATTAAAACCTATAATGCCTAAGTCAATAGGAATTAAGCTATTTCTTTACCCTTTTTTGTGCATAATCTCCATTAACAAATATCATTCCTGCTAAATGTATTCACCAACAGATTCAAAGTAAGTAGATTATTAAGGTCATTCACCGTTTGCTGAAGTATAGTCTCCAATCGACACATATTAACTGGGTTATGATCTTTACTCCTAAGTAGAACAGGAATGAAACGGAATGCTGAGTCTCCCAAAGTAGTGGATTTTATTGCTTCAGCGTTTAATGGATTGGTGCATTCATTAATATCACAATCTTAGAAATTGTAGGGATTGGTGGATTTTATTGGTTGAGCATATCTCTTTAACAACGAACTTATTTACACACTGAGCAACGTTTGTTGGTAAAATTTTGTGGCTGAGAAGAAAAGGGATAACTGGGGCCTCCTTTCTATCTTATTTGTAACGCTGAAAACCCAACATTTGGATATCATTTGTAGAATGGACCTTTGCTTATTCCCACATGACCACTGCCCACCAATTGAGTTTGTTGTGGGAAGTTGATAAAGAATAAGATATGGACATTGCAGTTGGAAGAAACATCCAAATTCTGGCATTCTCTGGTTCATCTTTTCATGGAAAGAGTATATGTAAAACTTCTGTAGCTTTGAAAGGAACTAATTGGCCTGCTAGAACAGGACATTCTTTAAGGCAATGCAGAACGGCGGTTAGAGCTCAGCAAAGGCCAACATGGCTTCCTGGGCTTGACCCTCCACCCTATCTTGATGGAACGTAAGCAACCTCCTCGCCTTTGGATAAATTTATTTTGTTTAACCATCTACTATCCAAAGTCTACTAGCTCAGCTCATTTGAATTTGTGCCTCGTAGAGCCTACTAAAAGGGAGAACTTCCTCTATCGGGAGTTTATCCGTTCCTAAGGCTTGCACCAGAGGAAATTGCCAATTAATGAGAAATGAATTTGCATACATAGTGAATGATACTTTCTTGTTTTTGTTTTTGTAGTCTTGCTGGAGATTTTGGGTTTGATCCACTAGGACTTGGAGAGGATCCTGAAAGTTTGAGATGGTATGTACAAGCAGAACTAGTTCATGCCCGTTTCGCCATGGCTGGGGTTGCTGGAATTCTTTATACAGATGTATGTCATTTAAAACTTCATTATTATGTTAAAGTCTAATCGTTTTTCACTTGGTTTCTGTAAAATGTCAGACTTTAGCTCAATGTTTCTGGTGAATTTTGGGATTTTCTTTGTAGTTGCTTCGAGTGACGGGAATAAGTGACTTGCCAGTGTGGTATGAAGCGGGAGCTACAAAATTCGATTTTGCAAGCACAAGAACTCTTCTCATTATTCAACTATTATTGATGGGGTAAAAGGTTTATCAATGTTGATTCAAGACTACATTTTAAGTAGCTGGCAGTAACTTTCCCTCTGTCTAATTTCTTTTTGTATAGGTTCGTTGAAACAAAAAGGTACATGGATTTTCTAAACCCTGGCTCTCAAGCAAAAACTGGATCCTTCTTTGGGCTAGAAGCTGCATTAGAAGGCCTTGAACCAGGGTAAATTACATTTATTGTTGGCCAAAACATTGTATGGTCAGACCTCTCTATAACAGCATCCCTATATGACAACACTTCACTATAAAAACCAAGCTTTTTCGGAACCAATTTTCATATTATGTTATAATATATGTTCTCTATAACATCACTTCGTTATAACATCCAAAAATATTCGGAACAAACGAGGCTGTTATAGAGAGGTTTGACTATAGCATTATACTAACAGGGTTTATCTTGTGCATGAGGTTCCTCTCTTGCTAGTAGGAGAAGAACTGTAGAGGCGGATCTATGACGGGCTTTATGGGTTAAGTTGAATCTATTACTTTCAACTCAAACAGTCTACATATATGTTAACAAAATTAAAATGTTAACGTGGGGAATCGGCCTCTTATCATTGACTCTAGATTTTGCATTGCTTTTGGAGAACGGGCTAATGCTGCTACTAAGCATAGGGAAAACACTTTGATTTTGAACAGGTATCCTGGTGGTCCTCTACTGAATCCTCTTGGAATTGCAAGAGATATAGAGAATGCTCATGACTGGAAGCTGAAAGAGATAAAAAACGGTTAGTTTAGCTGAATCATACTTTTAGTGCTTTCAACTATTGTCCAATTTTCATATATACTTTCCTCTATGTTTTGTAGGACGGCTAGCTATGGTGGCTATGTTTGGCATCTTTGTCCAGGCTTCTGTTACCCATGTTGGTCCTATCGATAATCTGGTCGAGCATCTCTCCAATCCATGGCACAAAACAATTATCCAAACCATTTCTGCATCTGGTTCTTGATCATTTAGAGTATATATGTTTCATGACATACTGATATGTGTTCATATAAAGGCTACTTAGTGAAGCAAGTCAACCTTCTGTAAGAATTCATGCGTATCAATCGTTTCCTACAATTAATATAGTGGGACATGTAGTAGAGAGCAATGGTCAATGGGAGGAAATAATAGGCTAGTATACAGGACAGAAGATGGAATCATATGGTTTCAATACAAAGATCAAACACCGAGTGATCTGAGGATGTTCTTCAGACGACGAGGAAAAAACTTACACAAACTGGCCGCACCAAACAATAAGTGCAATATATGTGCCTTACATATAAACTATTATTACCCATGATATGTTTTCTTACTATGATTTGCGACTCTTGAAGGTTAAATTCTTTGATTTGGTGTAAACATCGGATTATCATAAAAACCATCTTCTGCCCATGAGAAATGGGCAATATTCACATTGGAAGCTAGTGATTACAACATTCAAGGAGGATTGGATGAAGTTAAGTGGAGGACATGGATTCAAACTGGCAGAATACTGTGGTAATGGTAAAAGAAAAAAATTCTGATCGTGAGGTGTTTTAGCATTGAATGACATACCAAATGATACAAAAGTCTCCACAACATATGAATTATACAATACATAATACCAACAAACACAGGGAACCGATATATTTCTATTAGGCCAAACTTTAGAAACAGTGCTAGTTTCTTCTATTTTCTTTCAAAACTACCAGGATTAGGCAAATTGAAGCAGCAGACAATTTACTTACATAATCATTTATTGACTTTTGCAGCCAAATCTATAACAGACTTACTCTGTTTTATAATCAGCCATCCAACGTGTGAGTGAATTATTTTGATATTGTACAAGAAATAATACTCGGCATGTACACAGAAAAACAGTGAGAATTTACACTATGTCAACCAGGACAAACAACCAGAAAATGGAGGAACAATGTTTAAAATGATGAGCCATTTTAAAACCACAAAGCGCATCATGCTGTCTTGGCCTGTGCTTTCTTTCTGCCCAGAAACATGAAGAGCCTTGGGAAGAAGGACCTCTTCTTTTTCTTTGGGATCTTCACTTCTGGAGATGTATCAGTTTCAGTATTACTTGCTTGTTCATATGCTCTTGGACTTGACCTATGATGTAGTGAAGCAGCCCCTGGTGCACGCTCATAGGTTATCGATTCTTTACTCTCCTCAACACTCGATCTCGGGCTTCTTGTTATGTTTATCGGTTGAAGAGATTCACCAGCTTTCCGTCTTTGTCCATGCTCCGCCCTCCATTTCCTCAGCTCTTGCTCTACTGCCAACTTCCCTTCCTTGGCTTTCTCTGCCTTCTGGGTTGCGATTTCCAGAGCTTCCTTTCTATCAGCCATCTCACAATTAACTTCCTCCAACCTGCTTAGACTTCTGAGCTCTGATTCCTTCGCTACCTCTATTTGGGTGATAGCAGAAGCCACCCTCTTATTAGCTTCCTCCTCTGCCTCATGGGCCATTTTGCTGAGGTCAAAATACTCTTTCAGAGAAAGTGTTACTCCAGATGGGGAATCTTCATCATTAGAGCTTCGAGCTAATTCACTCTCTTGCAGAGCATTGATGGCTTCTAGTGCCAACTTTTCAGAAGCTTTTGCAGCCTCTATCTCCTTTTTAGCAGCAACTAGTCTACTTTCCATGGTACTTGCTCCTGCCTTTGCTTGCTCTGCTTCTTCCTTTGCCTTTCTCAACTCTTCACGAGCTGTTTGTGCAAGTAACTTTGCCCGATCAGCCTCTTGGGCGGCCTCTTGTAATTGCTTGGGAAGCTCCACCACCTTTTCTCTTGCTTCTTTCTCCTTCATCTGCACAAGGGAAATCTCTGACTTGGTCCTGTTCAACTCAGCTTCAAGAGATGCTACAGTAATTGATGCCATGCCTTCTCTCTGCTGGATAGCAGTTAGTTCTGATTTTTCCTTTTCCAGTTCTGTCTTCAATGAAGTTGCAGCCACCTTCAAGTAATTTACTTCAACTGTTGCTTTCTCAATATTGCGTTTCACTTCATCAAGTTCCTGTTTAGCCAAGGCCACCGCTGCTTGTATCTCAGCATGAGTTCGTTTCTCTGGCTCAGGCAGTTCGCCTTTGAAGTTGCCGCCTTCATTCATCTCTTTTTCCAACTTTGATTCCACATAAGCAGCAAACTCAGCTTTGAGATCTAGTAGCAAGGCTGAAGCAGTATCTAATTTTGCTTTGAGGTCCTTAGCAGACAGTATTTGCTGGTTTAGCTTCTCAAGCTCCCCTTCTGCCAGCTTTAGTTCTTTTTCCCAATTTAGAGTATCTTGCTCTCTTGCCATCGCTGCTCCAATTCTGTGTTCCTCTGCCTCCAGGTGTGCAGCTTGTGCAGCCTCCAGAGATTCCTTTGTAGTGATGACCTCAATAGTCAAATCCTCCACTTCCTTCTCAACTTTCTTTGAGGCAGAAACCGCTTCCTCTGCTTTTTGTACAGCATCAAATCTCTCAGACACCAATAAATCATACTCTTTATGAAGATCTTCTAACTCGAAATTCACAGTTTTTAGCTCCGAAACAGCAGCTGCATGCCTGGCTCTAGCAACTTCAAGCTGCGCCTTGGCTGCAATACTAGCCTCATCGGCAATACCCTGCTCCATCTCTTCTACCCTGAGCTTGGCAAGTTCCGAGTCCTGTTTTGCTTGCTGCTCTTCTGTTTGTGCTCTCTCCAGGTTCAGCTTCAACTCTTCTATCAGTCTTTTAGTACTATCTAGTTCCTTTAATACCATCATTTTTGCTTCTTCCGCTGCCTGAGACTGTTTCTTACACAGTGGGATCTCCTCCTGCACTTTTGCTAGTTCTTGATCGACAACTTTCCTTCGCTGCATTCGCCAGAAATGAAAGGCTATGTTGTGAAATTCATAGTACGAGAGATGTCCAAAACATAAATAAGTACAGGTCAGGAGGATGTAAAATGTATATAAAATCTAAACAGCCATTGCTTACAGTGCATTATCCAGGTGGACTTGCACATGCAATGCTGAATTAAATATAATCGTCTAAAGTTGCTTGCGAAACACCCATTTCACTGACAGCTAAATGGATTTCTGAGTCCAGAATCAATCAGTATAGTAAGGGTTCAAGAGCTTACCTCTACAGACTGTACTCGATGAGCCTTCCAGTCAATGATGCCTCCAAACTTGGAAACTGCCTGCTTCACAGATTCAATTGGTGCAGCTGTGTCGATTTTGACTCTGTTAATATCAATGTTTTCAGGGTGCTTAGAATGGGTACTGGGTTCTAGAATCTTAACTGTGAGATTGGAAGCCTTCGCTAGGGGCTGACCAGTATTAGGTGCCTCTACATGAATATTATTTTCAGGTTTGTGTTCTTGAGCGGATAAAGCAGGTGTATCAGTAGAAACGTGAGTACTACTTGGAGAATTATCTTGCTGGAATAGTGAGTTGTGTGCCGAAGATCCTTTTTGGTTTTCCTCTTTCATGGGAGGGGAGTCTGAATACATGGTTACTAAAGGTGAAGCAACTTCCTCTACTCTAGGTCCATGAGCAGTATTATTTGGTTGATTCGAAAGACTACCACTGGAACCACCATCCAGTGACTGCTGCAACGAATCACTTGCTTTTGTATCTAATACAGATGATGGAGTGGGTTCCGAGAGAGCTGTTGGAGGCTCCAACGATTTCAGATCCTCTGCCAATTGAGGTGAGGCTTCCCGCTGAACTGTCGGCACAGCTGATTGAAGACTTCCTGTTTTCGAAATGTCACCTGCACCGGCGGATTTAATGGAAGAGGCTGAACCTAAACTTCCTGGCTGATGATTTTGACTATCTTCCGTTGGAAATCTGTCAGAAGATTCTTTCAAATGTTGAGAAGCATACACGGCTGTCTCCTGAATTTCAGAATTTGCTGTTCCATTCATATGTTGCCTAGGTTGAGTTTCACCATGTGATTGATCCTCCCTCAGAACAGAAACTTTAGGTTCAGGAGCAGATTCTTGGGGAGAATTTTCCTTCATATCTTTTGCATCTTCCATTGCCAATTAAGAGCTGAGGCGAACCACTTGAGAACCTAAAATTAATATTGGCAAAAAAAGAAAGTAAGTGAATATATAACCTCTTTACAGTAAACAAAGACCTCCCAAAATTTTACCAGGAGGTGAACTATACAACTGGAGATATCAAACGGCTGTTCTTTAAGACCATACTGGAGAACTTAAACATAAGCAACTGCAACTATTTCCTCTGTAATATTACATTCACTTATTNTTTACCAGGAGGTGAACTATACAACTGGAGATATCAAACGGCTGTTCTTTAAGACCATACTGGAGAACTTAAACATAAGCAACTGCAACTATTTCCTCTGTAATATTACGATCACTTATTGCAAAATTTCTATGCTATAGCCTTTACATGGTCATTCTTCCAATTGAGAATTGCTAGTTAGAATCAACAAAAGCGAGGTTAACCTTTTTGCGAATGTTTGGTACGACATGCATTACTAAGAATTTGACTGACTTCCTCCTTACCAAAATAGATATCATGCTATTTTCACAAATGGAACTTGTCCTTTGTTCACTAGTTAAAAGGATCTCATATTTACATTGCGAGCAAAAACAAACCAAAAGAATCTTACCATCTCACATGCGGGCCACTTCCCATCAAGTAAAGTTTTTTAAAAACCCCGCTCGCTGAAGAATTCTGAGGTAAAGTTTTTATTTAAAGAATAAAGTGAAGCCAAACAAGATATTTAATGTCAAACAGAGAAGTAACAGGGAGTTGATAATCAAACATCAGTAAATTCTTTGTCCGCAAGTGCATTGTTTTGACTTATCAAATGAAGATATGTACCACCTGATTCAATATTCATGATATTTCCCTAATGTTGTCATCTATGAATAACCATAAAAGGGAGGAATAAAAGATCACACGAAAGGGGTACAGTCCCTACTGTTTATCCGGTTATTTAAGATCCAGTAGCGTTCCACAACTCGCGGCGTATGCATGCTATGGATGTAATAAAAAAGATATACAGCAGTGCCCTCCTGCTCCCTCCTCAACAAAAAATAACTCAGAGAAAGAAAGACCACAAAGCCAACTAGAATAAAGAGAAATGAAAAAGTAGTCAATTAGTGTCACAGAAGATAGATCTGTCAAACTGATTATCATCCTTAGTTTTCCTCTTCTTCAGCACTCTCATTATGGAGATATCATTCCATACTGAGATTAATCCTAGTTTCAGATTGGCCATGTAAAGCCTAAACTTCAAAGGCTTACTTCAGTTTTGCCATATAACCAAATGCTCCAATTGTATATGCTCCTACGAGGGATACAAGGAACCTTTTAAAAGAAA